TCTTTCTCCCTCTTCTTTCTCTCTCCAGAAACCATTTTTCAAGAGCTTCCCCATGGATTCCTTATGCTTGGACGAAATGGTAGGGAGGGGAGGGGGTATTTATAGAAAAACAGACTGAATCTGGACCGTTGATCTTAAAAATACGTGGCTCGATCTGGACCGTCCATTTTCTCTTTTGATCTTACGGTGACAAGTGTCCTATGACATCATGCTTACCTCATCATGATGACATCATACTTACATCATCAAGCCACATGTCTTTAATCCGACCGCACACGTGTCTTGCATCCGACTGTACACGTGTCTTCCATCTAGCCGTACACGTAATATTTTCTTTTTCTCATCTAACCGTACACGTGTCACTTTCATGTCCTTTCATCATTTATGGCATTAAAATAGGGAGAAAATAAATGGAAATTCGTGCAAAAATATTTTCTTAATTATTTCTCCACCTATCAAACCAATCTTGCACCGTATCGGATACTTTTCGGGTCTTGACTTACCCTGTACCACCAGGACATGTTCTGACACTATTTTCTCATCTTAATAAGTACATATATGGTGCCACCTTAGAGGAGCAGAGGGAAAAATAATTAGCTCTACTGACAGGCTACTTAACCTTACTGAGTCATGCAGTAGAGATTTCACTATAACGGGTAGACAAAAGACTGTCTAAAATATTCCCATACTGCGTTCTGATTTTTATGCTGTCCATAAATATCTTCTGGTGACTTAGCATGATGACTCGTAGGTGTCATGATTATGCTTGATGACTCAGCATGATGACTCATCGGTGTCATGATTACGCTTGATGACTCAGCATGCTGACTCAGCATCGTCATGATGGCTCTTAGATATTTTCTTTGGTTTTGTCTCTCCTATTTAGGGGACAAAATTATTTAATATTTAACTAGAGCATTTTATTCAATCCAGAGCTCCAAAAATTCATCCAAAAATATCATAAAATTTCTCATATTCTAGAGAAAATCTGTGAATTTTCTCAGGTCATAACTCAACCTGTAGCCCCACTTAAAAATCATTCTTTAAAATGCTCTTTTTCGGCACAACTGGCTTTTAAGTATTCTTAAAGCCATTTTGCTGGTCTTCTGGGGATGAGACTAATTTTATAACTTTCTATAGTCTCTTAGATCATACATCCCAATTTTACCATAATTTTCTGAGGTTTTCTTATGACTCAAACAATTAAATCTACCTCTACATCTCAAATTGAGCCATAAACTTATAAATTCCTTTTAAGTTACCTCAGGGGTATTTTCGTCATCTCTCTTCACAAAAGAGCCTTAGAATATTATTTCCCATTTTCTGGGATTTTCTTAGAATTTTCTAAGTACTTTCCATTTTTACCCCTGATGGCCGTAACTTTCTGAATTTACGGTTTTACCCCTGCTTAGGCTCAACCTCATAAAACCATCTCTTTGAGGCTTCTAACTTAACCTTTGGTTTGTATCTAGCCTCTTTTCTCTTTCTGGGCCTTTGAGACTTTACTGGAGCCTCTAACTTTGATTACACTTTAGCCCATTAAAACTTTCACTTTGCAGTTTAGTCCTTGAAACTGCTTTAACTTCCTTTCTCATCTTTAGGACCTCTACTAAAAAGGGGTCTGGTAGCCTATCCCATTCAGGCTATTTCTAGTACTTATGGTCTTAAAAATTGGGATGTTACACTGCGGCGAACTAACCCCGAGAGGGATTACTCGCCTGAAAACCTGACTTCGCCGCGGCGAACTCCAATCTTCGCCACGGCGAAAGCTTCCCGAGAGGAAACTCTCGCTCGCCCAGAAAAACTTCGCCGTGGCATGCCCTTACCTTCACCGCGGTGAAACCTTCTCGAAAGGGAAGCCTCGCTCACCTGAACAACTTCGCCGCGGCGTCCCCAAGACTTCGCCGCGGCCAAACCTTCCCGAAACACAAAGCCTACCTGGAACCCCTGGTGCGCCGCGACGAACATACCCTGAGAGGGGTACGTTTACCTATTCCTCCAACATACCTCAAATCCAACCCAAGCACCAAGATCAAGATTAAATTGCTAATCTATCCTCAAAATCAACCAAAAGAGGCTATTAAAACCCGATAAAAACTTAGGATGTTACAACTCTCCCCAACTAAGGAATTTTGTCCCCAAAATTCAAGCAATCACACAAAACACCACACAAACAAACACAAACACTTACTAAGAAAACAAGCGAGGGTAATCACGTCGTATCCTTTCCTCTGTCTCCCAGGTGGCATCACCAGGACTCATGCCCTTCCAGAAGACTTTCACCAATCGAATGGTCTTATTCCTCAACTGCTTGTCCTTCACATCAAGGATCCTTTCCGGTTCAGCCTGATAAGTTAGATTGTCATCTAGCTCCACCTCTTCAGGCTCTAAGATGTGAGACAGATCAGGGTGGTACTTCTTGAGTTGGGACACATGAAACACATCATGTACGTTGGACAGGTACGGTGGCAAAGCAACTCGATAGGCTACTTCTCCAATTCTCTCTAGAATTTCAAAGGGTCCAAGAAATCTAGGAGATAACTTTCTCGCTTTAATGGACCTCCCAATACCAGTAGTGGGCGTGACTCTCAAAAACACATGGTCACCCTCACAAAATTCCAATGGTCTCCTCCTCCTATCAGCATAACTCTTTTACCGGCTCTGAGCTGTCAACAACTTCTGCTTGATGACCTCAATCTTCTCTGTGGTGGCATCTACCAAGTCTGGTCCTAAAACCATTCTTTCGCTCAGTTCTGTCCAACAAAGAGGCGATCGACACTTCTGGCCGTAGAGTGCTTCATAAGGGGCCATCTGGATACTGGCATGGTAGCTGTTGTTGTAGGCAAACTCAGCTAAGGGTAGGTGATCAATCCAACTCCCCTTGAATTCAATGGCACAAACTCTCAACATATCCTCTAGCATCTGAATTGTCCGCTCGGTCTGTCTATCGGTCTGTGGGTGATATGCCGTACTGAACTTCAACTTAGTACCCAAAGCCGCATTCACCACTTTCCAGAAGTTAGAAGTAAAGCGTGGATCTCGGTCCGAGACTATACTCGACGGAACACCATGAAGCCTGACGATTTCATCCATATACAACTTGGCCATTCTCTCCAAGATATAATTGACTTTGTAGGGTAAAAAGTGAGCAGATTTTGTCAATTGTCCACCACCACCCAAATAGCATCATACCCTTCGGGTGTCCTCGGCAAACCTACAATAAAGTCCATGGAGATGCTATCCCACTTCCACTGAGGAATTTCTAGCCCTCGTAACAAACCTCCAGGTCATTGATGCTCTATCTTGACCTTCTAGCAAGTTAAACACCGAAGTACAAAGTCAGTCACCTCCTTCTTCATGTTGGGCCACCAATACTGTTGCTTTAGGTCATGGTACATCTTGGTTGCTCCGGGGTGGATGGCGTAACGGCTTCGATGAGCCTCCTCTAGGATAGTTCTTTTAATCTCCTCATCTTGGGGAACACAAATCCGGTTCTTATACTTCAGGATACCCATATCTCCAAGTTCATAGTCCTGTACTGGGCCATCCTCCAATTCTACCTGAATCTTTGCCAACTGATCATCTTCCCATTGAGCCGCTCGTAAATCCTGATAGAATTCATAATCTCTGAGCACTGCACATAAAGTAGCCTGCTCTGATGGTACAATTGGGATCTCTAATAACTCCTCGAGCAAGAATTGTTCCTTTAAACTTATACAGAACACATGCACTGCTTTTCTACTCAGAGCATCTGCTACCACATTTGCTTTTCCAGGATTATACTTAATCTCAAAGTCATAGTCCTTCAGGAACTCCATCCAACGACGCTGCCGGTTGTTCAACTCTTTCTGATCCACCAAGTACTTCAAACTTTTATGGTCACTGAAGACTTCGAACTGGGAGCCATACAGATAATGCCTCCAAATCTTTAGTGCAAAAACTACTGCTGCTAGCTCTAAGTCATGGGTTGGGTAGTTTTCCTCATGTGGCCTCAGCTGCCTGGAAGCATATGCCACCACCTTATTGTTCTGCATTAGCACACAACCCAAACCCTTTAGTGACGCATCAGTGTAAAGAACATAAGGTACTCCGGGGATTGGAAGAGTAAGCACTGGAGCTGTAGTCAACTTGGTCTTCAGCTCTTGGAACGCCGATTCATATTTCTCCGTCCAAACAAACGGTTGATCCTTCTTGGTTAACTTAGTCAATGGCATTGCAATCTGAGAAAAGCCTTGGATGAACCGCCGATAGTAGCCAGCTAATCCCACAAAACTCCGTACCTCAGTTACCGATCTAGGGACTTCCCACTTAAGTACTGCGTCCACCTTGTTAGGATCCACTGCTACTCCCTCAGCTGACACCACATGACCCAAGAACTTCACTTCTTTTAGCCAAAACTCGCACTTTGACAGTTTAGCATACAACTGGTGATCCCTCAATATCCGTAGTGCGATGTGAAGATGCTCTCGATGTTCTTCCTCACTTCTAGAATAAATCAAGATGTCATCGATGAACACTACCACAAATCTGTCCAAATAAGGTCGGAAGATCCGATTCATGTAGTCCATAAAGACAGCTGGAGCATTTGTTAGCCCAAAAGGCATCACCAAAAACTCATAATGTCCATAACGAGTTCGAAAGGCCGTTTTTGAAATGTCTTCTGCTCGAACCCTTAACTGATGGTATCCTGATCTCAGATCAATCTTAGAGAAAACTGATGCTCCGACTAATTGGTCCAATAGGTCATCAATTCTAGGCAACGGGTACTTGTTCTTGATTGTGACCTTGTTCAATTGTCGGTAGTCGATACACAGCCTCAAGCTACCATCTTTCTTCCTCACAAACAAAACCGGCGATCCCCACGGTGACACACTTGGTCGGATAAGTCCCTTTTCTAACAATTCTTCTAGCTGCCTTTTCAACTCGACCAACTCTGAAGGAGACATTCTATAGGGAGCCTTGGAGATTGGGGTGGTTCCCAGAACCAACTCGATGGAGAACTACACTTCTCGCTCCAGAGGTAGTCCTGCAACCTCGTCCGAAAACACTTCGGGGTAGTCCCTTACCACAGCTATCTGTTCAATTCCGCCTGCCTCATCCTCACTAATTGAAAAGAAGACAATGAAGGCCTGGCACCCTTTCCTCACCGCCTTCTCTACTTGAGCAGCTGACAACAAAACTGGACCACTTGACATTTCAGCACATAAGGCACCTACCGAAATTGTCACCAACCTCCTTTTACAATCAAGGATTGCTCCATTGGCCATCAACCAGTTCATGCCAATAATCACGTCGATACCTTTCAGAGGTAGACAAAACAAATCTATTATAGAATCTTGATTCTCAAACTGAAGTGCAAGCTCTAGACACGCTCTTCCAGTTACAACAGTGACTCTAGCAGGAGTAGACACTCTTAAGTCATAAGGTAGCTCAACCACAGGCAAGCTCAACTTCTGAGCACACTCCACAGAAATAAAGGAGTGCGTAGCACCTGAGTCAAATAAAGCAGAAATAACATGTCCCTCAAGTAGAATGTTACCTCGAATCAAGTTTGGAGATGCAGAAGCCTCTTCATTTGTCATCACATAGACACGTCCTGGAACAGTAGAACGACTAGCTTGAGGTGCTGGCTGACTCTCTGGACAGTTTCTGGCAATATGTCCCCACCGGTGGCATCGAAAGCACTCCCAGCATTGTCCCGCATGCCTACCCCCACATCTGGGGCACGGTCCAGTAACACTCGGGGTGGTCACTAAAGAATCTCGACGGGAGCCCTGTCCCCCACCAGTCTGATTGTTTGGATTCTGGCGTCTTTGCATAAAGCCCCTCTGAGCATTCGCCCTCTGATTCTGCCCTTGGTTCCTGTTTCTCCCTGAGCTACTCAAGCTCCCAGAGCTGTATTGACTCCTCTTCCCCACTCCTCCTGTAGGACCAGGATAACGGGCCGCTCTAGCTTGATTCTCAGCCCTCCTTGCCTCTACCACTTCTCTTGTCCTTCTAGCTGCAACCCGCAGCTTCACACACATCTCCTCAAAGGTCTTGACCTCTAACAAGGCCAACTGCTGTTTCAACTCCGGCCTTGCACGGTTCATCAGTTGTTGAGCTAACCAGAGTGAATGATCTTCCGTCTGCCTGGGCACATACTTTGCCAAGTCTATAAACCTTGTGATAAACTGATCCTCATGCATCTCTCCCTGCTTTAAGGAATAAAACAGGAATTGCTTTTCCATTCGCAACTCTTTCGGAAAGAAGTGATCATAGAACATCCGCTTGAAGGTATCCCAGTCCAACTGAGATATATCAGAAGGTCTTGCACTATCCCACCAATGCCTTGCTTGCTCCACTAGATAGGTAACCGCCACTTGTACCTTGAGCGGGGAAAGACAAGGAACAGCAGTAAAGATTGTCTCCATCCGCTCAATCTATTTCTCTGCATCTGATGGTTCCAAACTTCCCTTGAACTGGGGAGGATCATGACGATGCACCTCTCTCCATACCTTGGTGATGTCATTCAGCAACGGAGGGTAAATCACTCCCTCTAAAGTATCTCCTCCTTGGCTAGCCGCTCGATACTCCTCCCTCTGAGGTAAATCTCCAGCTCGATCACCACCTCTAAACCCCCTTCCTCCTTCTCCTTGTGCCTCCATAGTCACCTCATTCTCTCAGTCCTCTTGATTGACCGACTCTTGGTGCTTCCTCGTGAAATCTTCTTCAAACTTCCTCAACCTTTCATCCACTACCGCCGTCATCATCTCCCTCATTTGTCTAAGAAAGGCCTCATTCTCTTGAGGCAGTCCATTACTGGCTGGATCTGTTTGACGTGTCCGTACCATCCTTCCTCTCCCCAACTAAGGATGGAAACCCTCATTAGTAAAGAAAGAAAGGAAACACAAAAGAAACAGGGAAGGTATGTATGAAGTATGTATATTGCCACTAGGAAAAGAAACAATTTCAAAGAAACAAACCGGCTCTGATACCAATTTGTAAAACCCTTAACCTTAAAACATTATAACTCCTCACAAAATCACTATTATGGTAGAAAAGGAAATCCGTTAAAATGAACTACCATAGTAGAAGGAAAATTTCATATTTTTAGAAATTGACTTTCAAACTCGGGTCAACCCGTAATCCGTTGCATGCAATTGAAATCATTCATTTACATCTACTGGGCCTCCGAGCCTCCAGCCCAGGTAACAAAACACATCACATCAGCCCATCTAAAAGATTCCCAACAAAATAATCCAGAGTTTCATAAGACATTAACAATGGCCTCCGGCCAACCAAAATAAAGAGATACATTCTCTCCAGTTTACAACAAGGCCGGGTAATCAAATATTTCAAAAGCAGTCCTAAATGTGGCAATATATACTAGCCATACATATACAAATGCTAGAGGCCTAAAGCTAACCAAGTTCAAGCCTCTGCGTCTCTTCCCGATGGCCCACGCCCGGAACCTTCACCTGAAAACATTGTAAACCACGGGGTGAGACAAAGTCCCAGTAACCAACCTTTCCAATACTAGGTACTACTAAATAGGTGCTCGTGAGGTGTCAAGTGGGGTAGTTCACAAATAATATGTAATGATAGCCACAACAATTCGTGCAATGATGCAATCCCATCAACCAAATCCCTCACTTTGGGGGATTTTCAGGAGCCGAACCCGGCCTATCCCTCACTATAGGGGACGTAAGGAGCCATACGAGGCCTATCCCTCACTCTGGGGGACGTAAGGAGCCAAAAGGCCTATCCCTCACTATGGGGGACGTAAAGAGCCAACCATCATGCATTAATGGAGGCCTTACCACGTGGTAGTAAATATCAAAAACTCTCACCAATTCCCAAATCATGCATCATGCTCAAACCTTAATCAAATAGTAATTGAACATCTCATAAGTAACTTCATTCAGTGGCATATCCTTCACAATTTCAAGATTTCATTTATCATCAATCAAAACCCCACAAGACGGTTTTCCTTTTTATACACAACATACAGTTTGAACATAATTACTACTTGGAGCACAAAACATAACTCTACTCACAATACCACAGAAGCAAGTACTAAGGGTTGGAAAGTGGTTACCTCTCGCCTGAGCAAGGAACAACAAACCAACGATGTGGCCCCGTGCACCACCAAGACTCACAATCGGTCTACACAAGCACACAAACACACAACCATCATATATTAGCTTTCAAACTAATAATGTGGCCAAAACAACACTTGGGGACACAAAATTCCTATCTCCCATCAAAACTCTACCCAACTCAAAGGGTATAACTATCATGGCAACACTCCAAGGTCATACCAATCCATTAACACTTTAATTCCTTTCCAAACATCAATTAAAATTCATAACCTCAAGGACCCACTATAGGAATTCTACACCCAAACATCTATTTTGAACAATCGAGGTTCTAACAACAATCTAAACCGATTAAACATCCAATTAAACCCTCCTTAACATAACCCAATTCACAAAACTCAAAATCAACCTCTACATTATCATCCTCAATCCCAAATCACCTATCTCCATAAACCCTAACTCCAAAAATTCAAGATTCTTTAAATCTAAGGAAACTACACCGATTAAATACTTAAACTAACCCAATGCAATCAATTAAACTCAAAACAATCGGTCAAAAACCTCAGTTCCATCACAACTTAGAAAATCCTAGGGTTCCACCAACAATCCTCAGAAATTCCAAGAAAGAAAGTAGATTAGAGGTTAAAATCACTTACTTGAGGTAATGGATCCTTAGAAATGTCTTTCCCAAGCCTCAACACCGAAACCCTAGCAGAGCTCCTCTCTCCACCTTCAGATTTTCTAATTTTCACACCCCACGACTCTCCCACGATTATATAGATTTGGCACCCTTCGCCGCGGTGAACTAACCCCGAGAGGGATTACTCGCCTGAAAACCTGACTTCGCCACGGCAAACTCCAATCTTTGCGCGGCGAAAGCTTCTCGAGAGGAAACTCTCGCTCGCCCAGAAAAACTTCGCTGCGGCATGCCCTTACTTTCGCCACGGCGAAACCTTCTCGAAAGGGAAGCCTCGCTCACCTGAACAACTTCGCCGCGGCATCCCCAAGACTTCGCCGTGGTGAAACCTTCTCGAAACACAAAGCCTACCTGGAACCCCTGGTGCGCCGCGGCGAACATACCCTGAGAGGGGTACGTTCACCTATTCCTCTAACATACCTCAAATCCAACCCAAGCACTAAGATCAAGATTAAATTGCTAATCTATCCTCAAAATCAACCAAAAGAGGCTATTAAAACCCGATAAAAACTTAGGATGTTACAGGTAGCCTACTTAAGTGATCGGCTACATGGTTCTCTGCCCCTACTCGATCCTTTATTTCAATGTCAAATTCCTGGAGAAGTAATGCCCACCTAATCAATCTTGGCTTAGATTGTGGTTTCTTGAGAAGATAGCGAACAGCTGCATGATCAGTGAAAACAGTCACATGAGAATTCAACAAGTAAGGCCTAAACTTTTCTAAAGCGAAAACAACTGCAAATAGCTCTTTTTCTGTTGTTGTATGGTTGACTTGAGCTGCATCCAGTGTTTTTGAAGCATAGGCAATGACTCTTGAGAGCTTCTCCTCCTTCTAGCCTAATATAGCTCCTACAGCAAAATTAGAAGCGTCACATGAAATCTCAAAGGGCAAAGTCCAGTTAGGTGCAACTAGAATAGGAGGAGAAATGAGTTTAGACTTTAAATCATCAAAAGCAACTCTACAAGAATCATCAAAATCAAATTTCACATCTTTTTGTAAAAGCTTTGAGAGAGGTAAAGCAATCTTGCTAAAATCTTTTATAAACCGCCTATAAAATCCCGCGTGACCCAAGAATGATCTAATATCTTTAACACAAGCAGGATAAGGCAAAGAAGATATAACCTCAATCTTAGCTTTATCAACTTCAATTCCCTTTTTAGAAATCAAATGTCCTAGCACTATCCCTTCATTGACCATAAAATGACACTTTTCAAAGTTTAAAATCAAATTCTTTTCAATGCATCTTTCTAAAACTTTTTCAAGACTAGCAAGACAATCATCAAAAGAACCACCATAAATAGTAAAATCATCCATAAAGACTTCTATACATTCCTCTAAGAAATCACAGAATATAGCCATCATACAACGTTGGAAAGTCCCTGGAGCATTACATAACCCAAAAGGCATCCTACGATAGGCGAAGGTACCAAAAGGGCATGTGAAAGTAGTTTTATCTTGGTCCTCTGGTGCAATAGGTACTTGAAAGTACCCAGAGAAACCATCTAGAAAACAGTAATGAGATTTGCCTGCAAGTCTCTTAAGCATCTGGTCTATGAAAGGAAGAGGGAAATGATCTTTTCGTGTGGCATCATTGAGTTTTCTATAATCTATGCACACATGCCAGGAATTCTGAACTCTTGTAGGAATAAGCTCATCCCTATCATTTCTAACCACAGTAACCCCACTCTTTTTAGGCACTACATGTATTGGACTAACCCACTCACTATCAGATATGGGATAGATGATCCCAGCACTTAGAAGTTTGGTAATTTCCTTCTTAACCACATCAAGAATCAGGGGGTTTAGTCTTCTCTGGGGTTGTCTCACTAATTTGGAACCTTCACTAAGCAGGATCCTATGTGTGCAAATGGCTGGACTAATTCCCGGAATGTCCGCTAAAGTCCACCCAATAGCCCTCTTATACTCTCTCAATACAATAAGGAGTCTTTCTTCCTCAACCTTAGACAGGGAGTTAGCTATAATGATAGGTAATCGCTTATCAGACTCTAGAAAAGCATACTTCATAGTAGGGGGTAGGGGTTTCAAATCAAGAGCAGGTGGTTGCACAATAGAGGGAATCAAATTATGAAGTTCAAGAGAGAACAGATTACTCCCCTTTCCTTCAACCAGTGAGAGTTCAGATCCCATGTGGCTAGCTTTACCATCTCCAACTTTTCCAAGCATTGAACCAACATCAAGTTGATCCATCACAGCAACTGCCTTGGATGAATTCTTCTGCATACCTAAGTCATCACTGGATAACAAGTCATTCAAATATCTCATGGTATGAAAAGAATCAAAAGTAGACAAGTTAGGAGATGTAAGGGATTGAGAATAATCCTTCAACTCAAGGTGTCTCTGCATCATATGAGCAGGTGGAATCGCTGAAAGTGGACTATCTTCGTTCTCTTCAGTCAAGCATGTTCGCTGAGGGGAACCAGCTTCATCAATTGCCACTGCAGTATCAGCCTCCAATATGCTAGAATCACCTAAAACATCAACAGAAAACCTTTCTCCAAGAGAATCAACACTGACAATAGAAGGGATGGAACTCATATGCGAATCAGTAGATGAAACAGTGAATGTTTGTGGAATGGACAGTATGCAATTAACTACTGTACAGTTAAGGCATGT